TTACTACATAGTTGGGGCTGGCCTCAAACTCAACAGTAATCCTCCTTTCTCAGCCTCTAGAGTGCTGGAATTAAAGATATGTGCCATGGTGCCGGGCAACTCTAGAGATATTTATATTCAAAATGCTAAGGTAGATAGATCATGGTGAAGTTTAGTGGCTCTTCCATCTGATTTCCTTGTTTTAGGTCCTAGATAATGGCAGGAAAAAGTTAATGCTGCTTACTGAGCCAGGTGCAAATGCTGGCAGTGTAATTTACCTGGTTGTTCATTGCTGGGGACTACTATCCAATTATTTTCTCCCTGGTAGAGTCTCTTTAATTGGCTCTTCCAAAGTGTATATTTCACCTTCAGTGGTGGCGCAGGTATATAATCCCAGCAGTTGAGAGGCTGAAGCAGGAGGAACACTACAAGTCCCAGGCCTGCCTTGGCTACATAGGGAATTCAAAGACAGCCTGAACTACCTAGCAAGACACTGTCTCAAAAAAATGAAAAGCATATTTTGTGCTGAATGCCTAGCTTTCCCTCCTCTTCCTATAAGGTTTATGTCATAGCCGCTCCATTTTTTAAACAAATCGAGATAGATGAATTTTCATCTTTTCTTGAGTCTGTGCTCTTGACTCTGTCTAAATGAGATTTTTCGGTGACATTGATCACTCAGTTATTGCTTCTATCCCCAGCATCCTCTTTTACCTTTTCTTTACACCCATCTTTTCTGCTTGCAAAAGCTTACCTATATGTTGGGGAGAAGAACTTCATGAGACTTGCTCTCACTTCCAGTTCTGCTCCACTGCATCCTCAACCTTTAGAATAGTGCCTGGCAACTAGCTGGGGCTTAATCAATATTTACTGAAAAAATTAAATCCTAATTTCCTCTTTCTTTCTCTATCCAGATTTTTTAAAAACGTTCTCAATGTGAAATGTCTTAAGAACATATCACTGTATGAAATTTATCTTCTTACTCTCTTACTATTCTTTAATGACCACATAAAATGAATGTATGATGACTTATTAGCCACTTCCTTCTTGAAGGTATTGTTTCTATTTTTCATCATATAATTTACTAAAAAAATTAAGAGTAGTTACAAAATACTAAAGAAAATCTTACAAAAAGGAAGCCAAAAAAAAAAAAGTGCAGAATGCATAAAAGATGAAAAATCAGTTTAAAAGTTCCAACTTCTGTCTGACTGGAGTTCAAAAAAGAACAAGGAAAACAGATGGTTATTAGTAATGAATTCAGGAAGATTCCTCAGACCTGAAGTACCATTGTTCCCATGTGATGGGCAGGTAGAATCAGGCCCTTGTGGCGCAGTGAATTGCAAGTGTGCACCAGACAGCAAGTGGAAGGTAGCTACATTTATTAAAGATCCCAGGAAGTTGTGCAAAGGGAAGTCCGTGCCACACAGATAGAAAAGTGGTGCCAGGGTGACAGGATAGCAGAAGCACTGCACGCAGATCGCAGCAGCAGCAGCAGCAGAAGCCCCATCAATCAGGCTTTTGGAGTTTAAAAGTATCAGATGTCGGATGTTATCTTACAGCATTCTTAGCTTTAGGGTTGGTGGAAGCTAGAGATTTGCTAAGTTTAGTGGTAAATTCCTAGAAGTTTACCTAACAGTCCCAAGAATGTTAGGCTAGATAGAAAAGTTAAGGTAAGTGGCTGTCAAAAGGCCCTAGATAATTTTGGCCCTCAGCAACATTCCATCTCTCTACAGTCACAGTGTCCTAGTCAGCTAAGTTCCAGAAATCTACAGGATCTTTAATATAGACGCAGCTTCTTCAGAGAACTTCAGTTCACAGAAGTCTTACCCAACAGTAAGGAGATCTTTTTCATTACAGTTTTTTATTATTGTTTGATTTTTATGAATACAGGCAAAAATTCCTTAGATAAAAGTTAAATTACAAATTTTAAAAACAAAATAGGGCCAGGGATATGGCTCAGTGGCATAACCACCTGCCTGGCAAGAGCAAGGTCCTGAGTTCGATTCCCAGTACCGCCCCCCCAAAAAAACAAAGTAACATATGCCTGTTTTGTAAAACATTCAGACCACACAGAAAGACACCATAACCCATCGCTCAGGAATAAGTACCGGTAGATACATATCTCTTTCCAAAAGTATGTATGTATTTCAAAATTTTTAATAGTTTGAAACTGCTCTGTTGAACTATGAATATTTCACTTAACAAATGTCTTTGTATCATGATAGCTTATGCCTATAATCCCAGCACCTGGGAGACTGAGGCAGGAGGATTTTAAGTTCAAGCCCCAGCCTGTGCAGTTTAGCAATTTATTGAGACCTGTCTCAAAATCAAAAAAAGTTAAGAAAAAGTGCTGGGGATATAGCTTTGTGTGAAGGCCCTGGGTGCAATCCCTAAGAACTGCAACAACAAAAAAAAAAAAAAAAGAAAGAAAGAAAAAGTGTTTCTTCATGTCAGTCGAGATCTACATCAACATTTTTAGGGCCGGGCGTGGTGGCACATGCCTGTAATCCCAGCACTTAGGAGGCTGAGGCAGGAGGGTCAAGAGGCTGAGGCAGGAGGATTGTTGCAAGTTCAAGGCAAGTCTAGGCTACAAAGTGAGCACAAGGCCAGCCTGAACTGCATAGCAAGACCCTGTCTCAAAAAAAAAAAAAAAAAAAATTTTTAATGGTTCAACTAGAATATTTTCTTTTCCATTTTTAATCACACATCTATAGTTGTCCAGACTGGTTCAGTTGTGCCAGACTGGTTTTGCTAAAAATTAATTTCTTATTTGTTTTGGTTTTGGTTTTTTGAGACAGAGTCTCCCTATATAGCCCAGGCTGGCCTCAAACTCAAAATGATCCTCCTGCCTCAGCCTCTAGCATGCACGGATCACAGGCATGTGTCACAGCCACTAAGAATTACTTTCTATCTGGAATGAGACCTGAAATGTTGTTTTCTCACCTTGGACTAGTCAGACTGTCTCCCAACACCAGAAATTAAGATTCAGATATGCTCCACAGTCTCAGTTAAATGAAATGTGCTCCAGATAAGCAGCTTTGGAGCCCTAAAGGAATTGAAAGGGACTGAACTTGACATGAACCCCAAAGAAAGATTAAGAGAGACCAAACTTGACATTGAAACCAACTTGTTTCCTCATGGCTTTCCCACATATTTGTAACAAGTATGTATGTCATTTACATATGCCAGACTCTGTGGGGATAAAGTGGTGGCAGGAACAAACCAGCCAAGTTACTTACCCTCTTGGAACTTTCATGCTGATGGAGAAAGAACATAGTAAGGAAGAGGATATGCATGGAGTATGGTGAGAACTGTGAAGTAGGTGGGGGTCAGGGAATGGATCCAAGAAAGCCTTTCAGTGGACCTATCCTCTAACACCTGAGAGGGCAGCCAGGGGAGATAAAAACTAGGGGGAAGAGTATCCCGTGGGAGCTGGAAGAAGCTTCTTGCCATAGGGACTGAGAAGGTCCTGGTGTAGGAAGGAGAGATGGATGAGGAACAGAAAGAAGTTTGGAGTGGTGGTCATGAAAGAAGCTGGAGGAAGTGAGTTTGTGGTTAGTGTGAGGATGCGGGATTAGAACCAAGACATCTCAAGAGTTTAGATTTGTTAATTTAGTGAAAAGCTATTAAAAGGTTTTGGTAGAGAAGTATTATAATTTGATGTTTTAAATGTCTTTTGAATGGTGACTGTTTCCTACTCACAGGCTCTGTTAGATACCCTTGTATGCTTATGTTAAATTCTCCTTTTAAAAAAATCTTAAAGTTGTTTAAGTATATGTCAATTATAGTTACTTGCACCAACAGAGCTGAATTAAGGTAGTGACCTGGTAGCTATTTGTATATACAGTCGTAGCCCTTTCAAAGGATAAATCCCACTTTGTTTATCTGTTTTTCAGTTAATGATCAGATCACATGGATTGTTACCACTTTTTGGCTGTTGTGAATAATGCAGTTTTGAATATTCTTGTACATACAAAAGTTTTGACTTGTGCTTAGTCAAATCACCATTACCTTTGTAAAGATTGTCATAAATATTAAAGAAGAACCTTCTTCATCTAGACACTAAATTCTTGTCTATCTTAAAAATTACTTTTAGGCCAGGCGTGGTGGTGCATGCCTGTAATCCCAGCACTTTGGAGGCTGAGGCAGGAGGATTGTTGCAAGTTCGAGACCAGCCTGGGCTACAAAGTAAGCTCAAGGCCAGCCTGAACTGCATAGCGAGACCCTGTCTCAAAAAGACAAAAAAAAAAAAAAAACAATTATTTTTATGACTACTTTATTATTTCAACTTCTATTCCAATTGAAAATACATTTTGGTTTAATATATGAAAAAGAAATATACAGTTTTTCCCAATATTGTACAATCACTAGGTTCTTCCAGATAATTTACTAAATATGTCTTCACTGATTTAAAATACTATGTTTATATCAAAATAGAAAATATTTAATAAAAAATAGTTGGCAGCAGCTGAAGCTGGAAATTGGTCATGTGTGTGAGGGTAGGACAGAGCCAGAATGCCTCAAGCAGTCAAGCTACCTCAGTCTTGAGAAAGCATCCTGCCCAGACAATTCAGTCATTAGTCGCTAGGCAACCTTGTGTCTCATGATACTAACTTTGAAAAGGTATAAATAAAAGCCCCTGCTGTTGTTGTTCAGGTCCTCTTAGCCATCCAGTAAAGAGGCCTCTACCTGACCCAGTTTTTGTCTCTTATCTGTCTTTTCCTCATTCCCACCAGTGTTCCTCCCCAGGGTACACCGAGAGACCAGCAAGTCCCTACAGAAAATGTTTCCAAATTGTGTCTTATTCCTTTGATCTGTTGCAGATTCTTCTTCTGGAATGCACTGTAATTTCAGTAGCTTCGTAATATTGCCTTTTAAGATCATTAAAGTATCTTATATCCTGCCACTTATTTTCAGTTTTAAAAAGTCAGAATGTTCCAAAACCAATTGTATATTTTTTCAAATTCTAAAAAGAATTCCAGTGGAATTCTAACCATGGTTGGGTTAAATTTGCGGTAGCTTAGCAGCAGATTTAGGAAATGTGAGGAACAAGTCTCCCCTTTGATTGTGCACAATGGACAGATCCTACGGTGGACCTAGCGTGCGGAGAAAGCAAGACTATTTCTCAATCTTGCAGGAACAAGTGCCGGCCTAACACAGGGGCTGACATACCCAGAGCAGGTACAGCAAGCAGTTTAACTCCCGGCACACAAGCACACAGCTCACTTTCCCCATTTCTTCATTGGCTAAGTGTCTGGGGAGTCCCATCTCCTCTACCCTTGGCCTGCTCCCTCTGTTTACACTTTGTGGGTTTTAAAAGCAAAGGATTAAGCTGGGGAGGGGGCAGCTTCTTAACTGCCACTGCTTTTCCAGTCAAGTTAGCATAGTGAATGCCATACGTTTGGGGTTCTCGACCTCTCCCCCTTTGTTTAGAGACCCTTTGAGATGCATGACCTCAGTCACATCCACAGGCTAGTATAGTAGCTTCCTCCTCAGAGTTAAAGACTTCATTGTGAAAATAGACCACTTTAAGTTTCTATTGCTTTCAGGAAAAAAATTATCAGTTTTGAATCTTTCTGTGCTGCAAGATGGCATGTCTCCTTTATTTAGCTTTTTCTTTTTTGTACCTTTTCCTCTTGGTTATGTGTCTTGTTAATAAAAGGTATTCCTAGGTATTTATTCTTGTTGCTCTTATAATTGGTTAGCATCTCCTCCCCCAATTTGGGTTTTGGATTTGGTGTTTTTTGAGTTTTGGTTTTGGATTTGGTTTTGTTTTTGTTGAGGGGTTGCTAGTATTGGACCCAGGACCTTAGTTAGGTAAACACTTGACCATTGAGCTAAACCTCCAACCTCTTTTTAAATTTTTATTTTGAGATAGAATTGTGCTAAATTGCCAGGCTGGCCTGGAACTCTTGATCCTGCTGCCTTATCCTCTGGAGTACTGAGATTACAGACATTGGCCCAGCTCTCCGTTGTGTTTTGAATTGGTTATTTCATTACATTAGAAAAGTTTGCTTTTTAGCTCCCAGCCAGTTTATTGCCTTTGTCTTAGTTGTCATTGGTTTTGGTTGATTCTCTTACATTTTTACAGGGAACAGATAGCAACCATCAATAGTACCAAAGTAGAGAAAAGGAAAAATTGGGTATAAGAATTCAACCCTTCTGTGGCATTATGCTTGTCAAGTCAGTGAAGGCGTCCTTGAGGAAGCGGGTTTTAAACAGAAACCTGCGTGCAGTGGGAGGGGACAGACCGAGAGAAGGGCACTCCAGCAGAGGCTGGTGTGAGCCAGGCCCTGGGACACAGAGCAGAACGAGGGAGGACCGTGAGGCACCTGAGCCTATGCTGAAGCCAGGTCCAGTAGTAAGCAACAGGACATTTTTAACAGAGGTGCGGTACATTTGAATTTACATTTTCGAAAGATTACCCTCGCTACTTTGTGAAAATAGACTAAAGACAAACAGGAGTGGTAGAGGAGTACATTGTGGTAGCTTAGCAGCAAACCTGCTCATCTTTTTTTTTTTGTACCGGGAATCGAACTCAGGACCTTGTGCTTGCCAGGCAGGTGCTTGTGCTGCTGAGCTATATCCCTGGCAAACCTGCTCATCTTAGATGAGGCTGTCAGTAGTATCATTTCACTCTCCTCAGATCTTTGGTCTTTGTAGAGTAAAATAAACATTTTATTGGCTTGAAAAATGTTTTATGCATGTACCACTATAATAGGATGTCTGACTCTTTCAAGAAGATACGTAGAAGGGGAATACTCACATTTATAGCAGCACAGTTCATAATAGCTAAATCTTGGAAGCAGCCAATATGTCCATCAACAGATGAGTGGATAAACAAAACATGGCATTTATATTCAATAGAGTACTACTCTGCCATAAAGAAGGATAAATTTGAGTCATTGGTAGGAAAATGGATGCACCTTGAAACCATACTGTTAAGTGAAATAAATCAGACGCGTAAGCTTATACATCACATACTAAAGAGAAACTCAAATTATAAATAAAGAGCAAAGTAAAAGATAATGGGAAGTAGAAAGTGATCTTTCTCAAATGGGAGGGGATCAAGAGATGGAAGTGGGGAGGGCAGGAAAGGGGATAAAAATGGCACTTAGATGTATTTGTACCTGTGCCAACTCCACACAAGGATAACCATCGTGTACTGCACACATGCACTAAAAAAATTAAAAGGGAGTTTTATATTAGAATGGGCCACTAGCTTTTCTTTAATTGTGTGCCTTGTAATCAGTCAGTGTCTATTGATTTATTGTCAGGTTTCCTATGTTATTCGAGATGAAGTGGAGAAGTACAATCGAAATGGAGTCAATGCCCTGCAGCTGGACCCAGCACTCAATAGGCTCTTCACGGCTGGCCGAGACTCCATCATAAGAATATGGAGTGTCAGTCAGCACAAGGTGAGACAGGGGAAGTCTGTGCTCAGTAACTTTCAGACTAGTGACTTTCCCTATCTTACTAGGATGCCTTTTTTCAGTTTCTGACTGAACATCTTTGAGCACTGAGTTTTTGGGACACTCTGTGAAGTTGTTGCCACAGAATTCTGTGAGCCTCTGAGAAAAAATATCCCTATGAGAGTTTCAGAGTACAGTATTGTCACCAAACATGGCTTTTTGAGGAGTCCACTGCCACAAAGGAGCAGTGATACTTAGCTGGTAGAGAGTGATGGTTTTCAACAATTTTTTTTTCTCTGATTCCCCAAAACTTCTTGGTAACCACGTACTTTTTAAAAGGTTGAGTGTGCTTTTACAGTTATAATTGATCTTGAACAATATTTTCTTACCTTAAAAGTGAGCAGAGTACCCACAAAACTCCTAGGACCTTTTTCTGTAGTGCAAGTTCGGTATCAAACTGTGGCAACAGTATGCTCCCCTTCTTCAGGAGTGTAAGTCTTCCTTCCCTACACAAGGAGCGGGGTTACATACCAAGTCTGGAAAGATAAACCCCCAAATGGTAAGGGACTGGTGGTGGTTTGTTGATGGCGTATATTGTGAATGTCATAGAACAAAAGACCTAGGGAAGAAAAAGGAGCATTTATGGAGCTGGCCACTTTCATATCCACTGTGATTTTCATTCTGACAGGAATCCTTCAAGGAAGCTCTCCTGACCCATTTCTGTAAGTGAGGAAACAGGCTCGAGCATCCATTGGTTAACTGACTTTTTTAATGAGTAGTGAATTCAAACCTAGCTAACTTTAAAACCCTGGTAGTTTTTAAAATCTGTGTCTTTTTAGCAAGCTCTGCAAGTCTGATGTGAGTGCAGAAAAAAGAACCACTACCTAGCAAAGTTGCTAGGTAAGGTATTTTTAAGTGAATTTCCGTCTAGCAGGCTTTGAATTTATTAGCCAATGAAGGCAGTTGTATCCCAGTGTCAAAAACATAGAAAATAAGAAAAGTATTTATGTTTGGCTTTCTTTGTTTGATTGTTTTTTGTTTTTGTTTTTTTGAGACAGAGTCTCGCCATGTAGATCAGGCTGACCTTGAACTCACTTTGTTGCAGGCTACTCTGGAGCTAGAAGCAATCCTCCTGCTTCAGCCTCTCCAGTGCTGGGATTATAGGCATGAGCCACCTCACCCAGCTTATGTTTGACTTCTAAATGCTTTCTGATACTTATATTCAAACTAGGATGTATCTTTTTGGTGATACACAGTATTTCAAACAAATTAAAGGAAAAAACTCAAAAGGACTAATGTGGAAAATCTGGAAGTATGCCTGTCTTACCCTCAAACATCTTTTTCTGGTCTTCCTTTTATGACAAGATTGAATAGGATCATTCCTCAAATAGCCATGTAGCAAGCTATTTTTTCTGTCTATGTAGTGTCTCAAATTTGCCTGTTCTCCATGTAGGATAAAACTTGCTTCTCCTCTTTAAAGGGCTTCTCCTGGTAATTAAGCCAGATGACAAGAGAAGAGTCTCAGGTTACTGAATGGAAACTGTAACCCAGGTAGCGTTCCCACAGTTCTGGAAACCTCGGCTTTCGCGGGCTGTCCTGAACAGTTACTGTATCTGCTAACTGGCAGCATCACCTGCCAGCAGTTCTCTAGTCAGTGGTCAGTGTTAGGACCTTAGAGCAGTGTGTCACATTAATCGAAGAATCTGCGCATATCTGTAATTTGTAATGTAGTTCATTTTCTAATATAAACTCAGGATTTTTCCTTTATTTTCAGCAAGACCCATACATAGCATCTATGGAACACCATACTGATTGGGTAAATGACATTGTACTCTGTTGTAATGGGAAAACATGTAAGTATTTCTTTAACTTACAGTACTTTTTTTTTTGGTTTTTTTTTTTTGTTTTTTGGTATCGGGAATCGAACTCAGGGCCTTGTGCTTGCCAGGCAAGAGCTTGTGCCGCTGAGCTATATCCCCAGCTAACTTGCAGTACTGGGCTTCTGGAAGTTTTAATTCAGTTTGATAATATTTTTCATTTTTATGTGAGCTTTTTCTCTTGTCCAGAAAAGTACCTAAACCTTAAGATTACTGTTGAGTAAAGTTTAGGAAGCGGATTACAGCAGCCCCCTTGTGGCTCCCTTCAGTCAGTGCACCTTACCTCGAGATAACTGCTGTCTAGTTTATCAACACTGTGGATTAGTTTTACCTGCTTTTGAACTGTATATAAATAGACTTACATTACACAAATATTTTCCTCTAGCTTTATTAATACCTTTTTTGGAGTAAGACCTATTTATTATTTTTGAGGTCTGAGTTAAGGAAATTTTTTCTTAGTCAAGTTATTTGGACCTTCACCTGGAACATCAGAAAAATTTGCCCTGCCTATTTAAAAAAAAAAGTGTGTGTGTGTATAGTATAGGATAGTATGTAAGGCAATATACATTAGGTTCTAGGGGGTTTTTAGGAGTATGGGTATGAACATTAGTAAAATAATTTTACCTTCTTTTTTTTTTTTTTTTTTTTTGGTTTTTTTTTTTGAGACAGGGTCTCGCTATGCAGTTCAGGCTGGCCTTGAGCTCACTTTGTAGCCCAGGCTGGTCTCAAACTCGCAATGATCCGCCTGCCTTAGCCTCCTGGGTCTGGGATTACAGGCATGTGCCAAATGTTACCTTCTTTAAGGTAACTTCTTAAAGTTATTCAAAGTCATACCACTGAGGGTTTTGTTCATTCTTTTTCCCTTTTCTAGTAATATCTGCTTCTTCTGACACAACAGTGAAAGTATGGAATGCACATAAGGGATTTTGCATGTCAACATTAAGGACGCATAAGGTAAAGCACTAACTGTTCTCAATATCTTCAATGTTGAGATCTTAGTACTTCATGTGGCTTCTTTTCTTATTGCAGAGTAGATCATAATATGTCTGTTCTGTTACAGGATTATGTAAAGGCTTTAGCATATGCCAAGGATAAAGAACTTGTAGCATCAGCTGGGTTGGACAGACAAATATTCCTTTGGGATGTGAATACTCTAACAGCATTGACTGCCTCAAATAACACTGTCACAAGTAAGGCGTTTGAACAAAATTTCTTTGAAAGTGACCTAAGTTGAAATAAAGAGTGGTTATAAAACATCTGTAATAGGTTTGCATTGAGATATTGGTTTGTATTTTGAAAGCGCTTCTTTCCTTAGCATTTGAGCCCCTAAGAGTATGATTGAATAAGAAGCTACTTCCTCAGTGCAGTCTAAACACTGTCACTTCCCCAGCTGTAACCTAGTTATTTTTTGTCCATGTGTATGTCTCAGCTCCCCAGCTAAAGTGTAAGTCCCTGCAGGATAGAAGAGCCTGTCTGACCACTACATATTTTCTGTAGCTTTGCCTGGCCCAAATCCACACATTCTGCAGGTATTATTGAAGGAGATGGTGATTACATGGCAAAGTAGATGGTTCAGTGACTTAAAAGTGTTATTATATATTAAGAGCTTTTGAGTTAATGACCAAGATGGAAAATACCCAGAGAAAAAAAAAGATTTCCAGGACCAATTTAAAAAGTTTGTTTCAAAGCAGCTCAGAAGAATCCAGTGAATTCTAGAAGAGACCAGGAAGGCCAGAGTGCTTTTAGAAGCAGTTCAGAGATAATTCACAGAAAGTTAATAGCATGACTGCTTAATAAACTAACAGATCTCAGACTTACACATGTCTAAATTTGAAATTTAGCAGCACATTTGCCCTGGCCTAGTAGCACACTCTCGGCCAGATACCCGAATGGATTTGCAAGAGTTCCTTTTTGGCCTATCCTGGATTGGGAAGTCTGTGTTCAAGACATAGGCTGGGATCTCTCCATCAGAGATCTATTTTGTCAAGACTCTTTGGAGTGCTCACATTGACATACCTAAAGTAGTTGTAAACCTGGCGTGGTGCCACACACCTGTAATCCCAGTTCAGAAGGCTGGGAGGATTGCAGAATTCAAAGCTAACTTGGGCTCTGTAGTGATTTCAAGGCCAGTTTGAACTACATAGTGAAACCCTGCTCAAAAAAAAAAAAAAAAAATGTAGTTCTAATGTAACCTGGTATTATATGCCAAGAACAGCAATTTGGAATACTGGTATTTATAATTTCTTGAATTTTCTTTGGCCATGTTTATCAGGAAATACGTGTGAAGGTCTAAGCCCTGCACAGCCATTCTTCTTGATTGTTTGCCTCTGTGGCAGCCCAGTGATTTAGCTGCTAGTGCCTGCTGGGGACTGCCGCCCTGATCCTATATTAGGTTCTCACTCTCCCTGTGTCAGGCCTGCCTCAGAGGGACACTCAAGAGGAGGAGACAACACAGTGAAAGTCAGAGACGAGGCTTAGCAGATGAAGTCTGCTGGGTATATATAGCCTTGCTTAGAATTATTAGAGAAGATTCCACACAATTTTTTTTGCTTGTAGAAATAATACTAATAATAGTTGACATTCATTAAATACTTACCAGCAGACGTTTTCCTGCACACTTAACATATATTAATTCCTTTACTTATAATTTCTTGGTATGTTTACTTACTGTAAAATTATGGTCATATAGTATAAACAATTTTATATGCAGCTTTTTTACTTCAGTGATACTGAGTTCTAAGTTAAAGGATATACACATGATTCTTGCCATTGAGTATATTATCCTTTTTTTTGTTTGATCTGGTATGTGAAAATGGCCTTTTTTTGCTCTAACTTGTATTTCCTTTACTAATACTGAGTTTGGACATTGTTTCTTATTAGTATATGTATATCTTTGAAAATATATTACTTCCGTGGATGGTTTTTAAATGACAGTGCAGTTGTTAAGCAAATATTTATTGGGCACTTGTATTACTCCAATCCAGAAAAAGATATAAAAATTGTTTAAAATTATTTTCACGATAGTGGATTTCTTTCTCTTAAAGTAGTCATAAAGAGAAGTTTTTGTTTTTGTTTTTGTTTTGTCTTTTTGAGACAGGGTCTCACTGTGCAGTTCAGACTGGCCTTGAGCTCACTTTGTAGCCCAGGCTGGCCTCCAGCTCGCACCAAACCTTCTGCCTCAGCCTCCCACGTGCCGGGATTACAGGCGTGCACCACCATACTCAGCGGATTTTTCTAATTAAATAATTAAACTTGTAATTTTTGCTAACTGGTTCCTAAATAGTTGATGATTATATTAACATTAGCTCCATTTATCCTCAATAGCTTCTTCTTTAAGTGGGAACAAAGATTCTATTTATAGCCTGGCCATGAATCAACTTGGAACAATCATTGTATCAGGGTCCACGGAGAAGGTAAGGGGAAGCCTTACAATATTTGACCATAAAAAAAAAAAAAGAATTTGGTCTATGAAATTATTAAATATGTGAACAGTAGTTTTGCCTGGTAGATGCTAAAAGATGTTATTTGCATAAATAAGAGTGAAACTGTGTAACTTCTGTGTGTATAGTGATGGGAGGCTATGTATTTGGGGACGTTAAAAAGTTTCCTTCCCAAAGTTAAGAACCTTAGACAACTAACATTGACTGAAGCAATATCTGATAGTTGTCATTTGACTTGTAAAAGTTGTTTATTTAAATTTGATTACATATTCACTTTGTCCACTAAAATTCACAGGTTTTAAGGGTATGGGATCCAAGAACATGTGCCAAACTAATGAAGCTTAAAGGACACACAGACAATGTGAAAGCACTGCTGTTGAACAGAGACGGCACCCAGGTATGCGGTCTTATGTGGACACGCACCTAATGGTTTTAACAGAGGATTCCTCACTTTGCATATGATTGTATAGGTTGATTTGAACCAAAAGCCATATGTATAAATTGTGGCCTAAATTTTAATCTGTTGAATTGCATATATTAAAAAATTAAAATTAAAAAACAACAAATTGCATATATAATCCATATTTTAAAACTATTCTGGTTTCATCACTTTTAAATAAAGAAAAAACAAGAAAGTTCCTTAGAGTAAATCTGATGCAGATGAGTATATGCAGTTATGGTGCATAGAAGTTAAAATAACAAAAAAATGGCATGTATGTTGGTGGCATGTGCCTATAATTCCAACTGCTAGGGAGTTTGAGGCAGGAGGATCACAAGATTGAGGCCAGCCTGGGCAACTGAGCAAGACCCTGTCTAAAAATATAATTAAGGAGGACTCAAAAAAAACCACCTCAGCACTCCCTGGGTTCAGTCCCCAGTACTGGCATTAGGGGCTTGGGGGTTATGGCATAAGTACCTGTGTTGTAAAGTAGAAGGAAGTTTTAAGAGTGAACACTTTTTGCCACTGTATTAAGTGGGAAATCTCACATTTTGTCAGCTGACTAGTCTATAAGTTTAACTTTCTAACACCTCTTAGAATCAGCATTTTGGAGAGAAACACTTCAGAAATATTTGAGCATTAGCTTATTGGCTACAAAATATGTGAATTAGAAATCACAATTCTCTTTGTTCTGAAACCGTGGAAAAATAATTTTGATCAATGTAAATAAGAGAAGCTAAATAGCATTGTGTGTAGGATATCCCTCTACTGCATACCCCTGTCTCCCCAGCCATTTTTCTATCTATAGGCAGTGAGAAGTTTAGAGATGATTGGAATCGACTGTGTTGGTTAGAAACTGGTGAGTAGGAAGATAATGAGGGAGGGAACACCATCAGTCTGTTACTCCTGTGGACATACGACAATGGAAATTACCTCACAGATGAATCAGAGGAACTTCTGTTTCTAGGCTTAGTGGATTCAGCTTCTACTGTGGATAGTCTTGGAAAGTAACTAAAGAAAGACAGTCGTTTTTCAAAACCAGAAGTTATCTATGACTTGGAGATACTTGTGGAGGCCTTTGGAAATGGAAGGATCTTGACATTATTGTGCTGTGTGTCTTGAGGGTAGCATTTCATTCTCACTGGTGTTTAATTTCTTCATCTGCAAAGTAAGACCCCTATGTAGTTTGTATAAAAAGATTATATGTATAAATGTTTTCTTGCTTTTAGGCAGGGCATTTTCTAGAGCTTTCACGTTCTTTTGTAGTCTCATGTTCAGTGAGTCTAAGAAGCCCAGTGCGATCAGCCTCTCACTGCTTTGCAGTGGAGTTGCACGGCTGCCCTTCAGACGGTTGCCCATGCCTGTTCAGTTAGCTTGATTTAAGATTAGACATGGTCTCCATAGTTTCAGTGGGGACGCGGGCCTGGCAGTCCCCCTAAAGCCCCTTCTGAGCTGCGCTGTACACCTCTCTTCTTGTGTGTACAAATGGATGTGCTCCTCTAAATGATTTAACTATCACATGTACATAGCTATAATTGTACTTCTGCTGAAGTCAGCTACAGTTTACTGTAAGCAGAGACAGTAATGTGTCTCTACTCTAAAAACTGTCACTCTTACAGAGAGTGCATAATTGATAGGTATCATTCCTCTTCTACTTTGCCTTTCATCCATTTTCCTTATTGGCAACTATAGACTAAATTTTACTGCAAACAGTACAGCAGGGAATCGATCAACAAAATAGCTATAATAAGTACTCATTTGGGGAAAAGAGGAGAAAAAAAGAAATACCTAGTTCCTGATTTTTGAACTATTGTAATACAGGGGAGAGATAATTTCTGGCCCAGAATGAATATTGTCCTACAGAATGGCTGTGCAACCTTGTAATATAGGGTGTCTGGCAGCATTGTTAGTTAGGAACTTATAATGCTATGGCAAGCAGAAAAACCAAAGTGACACCCAGGATTTGGAGGCAGATTTATTTTATGTCGACGTGCACTGATTGGAATCATTCCCAGAATATCAGGCCCTGATCTCTAGTGGACTAAGGCTTATGTGGGATAAGCAAGCAGGAAGTACAGAGGCAGAATGGCTTATCAATTGGGGTTTGGTTTATAGAATGTATATCATAGTGACCAGCTATGCCTCACAGTGACCAGCCATTTCTAAGGCATGGGAGCAACCAGAACTGGAATAGAAACTGTTACCTAGGCAACTAAGAACCTGAAATAATGAGGGGAGTAAGATAGAGGCCAGTGAATCCCACAAACATCTGCCTGTTGCCTCTCTCCTTTGTTGTAGAGCAAGATTTCTTTTACTAAATCTAGGTGGGGCTTTGCCCAAGGAAATTGTTCCTGTGAAGGCAGTTAGTATTGCAGTTGTTTTGACTGGTGCCAGTATTGGACAGAGCCACTTGTCTTCTGATTCCTTGTGCTTACTCAGGCAGTTAACAGCTTGAGGAACCAGGACAGCCTATCATCTTGGTTTGAGTTAAGCAGGTCTTTGTGTATCACTCACAGTTTTTCTGGTGGTACAGATCCCAGACCTAACTTACAAGTCTGTGGGTCTTGGTGTCAGCTCTGTCTTGTCAGTTGAGCTAGAGTGTGAGTGACCATGCCTGTTGGTGAGCATACTGGCCCCAATGCATGGGTACTTCCATCTTCACTGGAAAACAGCATCTGATCAGGGCCACAGAATCTCTTCCACTCAGTCTGACTTAATGGAACAGTTTGGGGCCTTCTGTTCTGGTCTCTAAAGTCATTTAATCATGAACATCTTCATATTTACCCAGGAGAAGGATGGAGACAGTTGAAAATATTTTGATGACTCCTCCAGCCCCTACAAGGTAGTAGGCACTAGAATTCCTAATGCTGCAAAGACGTTGGCCAGTATTATACTTTAAAAGCAGTTGCTCTCATTTGGGGCCTGTTTTTGTTTTTTGTTTTTTGTTTTGTAGTCTTAGGAAACTGACCACAACGAGAGATTTTGTGTTCTGAGTTAAGATTAATGTAACCCTAAGTTTCCTCATCTGCTTCTCTCTGTACTCTGGATTTTGAACATACTTCTTCCCTGTTGTAAGTCACCCAGGTTGTAAGGACTTCTAAGGCATCACTTTTGCCTGCCTTCACCTCTGTTAGACATTATTCTCGGTAGGTGCATGTGGATCAGGGCCTTCTTGATCGAATTGTCGCCTCAGACCAGCATCTCCTCCTGGAGTGGGGAGCCCCTCCCAATCCCTAGTCCAGACTGCCGTGGTTCTCCACATATAAGTTGAAGGTCTGCTTATAACCTTACCTTTGCTGTTTCTATATTTATTAGTCTCTTTATTGTTTTTCATGCTAGTTGAAATAGATTATTAAGCCCCTGATGTTCTTGGCAGCTTGTGGAGAAGCATCCTAGTATATGTTCATTTAATGAAACCTGCCTAGCATACCAAAAGACCCTAAAATCATATGGCAGACTAGTAAATCCTTAACATTCCTAAAAACCTCCTTTGTTCAAGCACCTTCCAAATCTCCAAGCCCACACTGTCTTCTTTGAAGCCCTTTGCTTACTTAATTTCATACTCCAGCACCTGCAGTTCTTCTCCTTCAAGGTCATTCTTTTTCACAAGGGAAGGAAGCTTTTGTTCTCTCTTCAAGTCACCTCAGTAACTGCTGAAGAACACCAGGCAGGCCAAATGTGGGCCTAAGGTGGCCAGTTCAGCCTGTTTCTCTCAGGCTCACACTGGTACTCAGCCTAATTTGTGTGTAGCAGCTTTTATATAGTTGACTGTCCTGTGCGTTTGGAAATTGTCAGAACTGCTAATGTTAAAGTCACTTGAGGCTCAGATGAGAAGCATTCGAGGTAACAGAGAATGAGTGGTCAGTCTGGGATTAGGTCTTGATTCTGATTCCTGTTAGTAGGATCCAGGGGATCTATGACGTTGTTAGAAATCCAGAGCTACGAGAGAAGAGATGAGACAGAGTTGTGACCCAGAAGTCTTTCTGGCCTAGCACAGTGTTTATCAAATGTAGTGTATATCAGAATCGCTTGAAGAGCCTGTTAAAGTACCCAGTGCTGGGCATACTCATTAGGTTCCTGCTCATTAGGTCTGGGTGAGGAGGCCAATGCTGCTGGGGTCACTGCAGCCTTATCTTCAGCTGCTTTCCAACCTTCCCTCCCTTAGCAACAAATAATCAGAACAAGACTTGCCTGCAGGCCCAACAATCGACAGGCAGCCAGGGAGAGAGGACAGAGGCAGTTCTGTGAGAGGCATCTCATGCTTTGAGCATACATTGTTGCCTTTGGTCATTTCAGACTGTGGCCCAGGCTTATCAGAAACCTTTACCAAGGACAGAAGTCCAGGTTATTAGACACACGTGTGATGGTGTAGAATCAGTGTGGAAGCCAAGTGCAAAGCACAGGAAAGCAAGAACTTCTTAGGAGGTTTCTCTCCTTTTTTGTTTACAGTGCCTCTCGGGCAGTTCTGATGGGACAATTCGCCTTTGGTCCCTTGGCCAGCAGAGATGTATAGCAACGTACCGAGTACATGATGAAGGGGTTTGGGCCTTGCAAGTCAATGATGCATTCACACATGTATATTCTGGAGGAAGGGACAGAAAGATTTACTGTACAGACCTAAGAAACCCTGACATTCGAGTGCTCATTTGTGAAGAAAAAGCACCAGTTCTTAAGGTAGGTCATATATTTTAGTTTTGTAATTTAGGTTGTTATGTGGTGAGCCAAGTATAGCAAAATCTATATTAGAACATGAATCAACTGTGGAGCTTGACAAAAAAAACTCTTTTATCGGAGGTAGGATTTATGTGTCAAGAAAAGTAACCAGGGTAGACTGTCTGGGTGCGAGAATATCAGGGCAGATACTTGGGGTCAGTGCTGGGGTAGTTTGGCAAGTCACCTGTAGAAGTCTGTGGCTGCTTGGATATATCAGTGATACACAGCTCTCTGAAGAGCTGAACTCTAGTGAGATTGTCTCACACTTGCTCCTCAGCTTGCCTCACTTCTCTGGCCTGTGCATAGGAGGAGGAATATGAGCCTGTAAGGTTGTGTGTAAGCAGACACCAAAGCAAAGTGCTGTGTGGGACGTGTGTCCATGTTCTGAGAAGTAAGGAGGTGGAAGAGCACTCCTAAAGGAGAAGAGCAAGCTGCTTTGTACTGCAGACATTCCCTCCTTCAGAACAGTCCGGAGGTTTTTTTTTGTTTGTTTGTTTGTTTGGGGGTTTTTTCCGGTACTGGGAATCGAACTCATGACCTTGTGCTTGCCAGGCAGGCGCTGTGCCGCTGAGCTAAATCCCCAGCCCCCAGTCCGGACTATTAAGATCTATGTTTTGCAACCATTGTTAATTCCCTAGCACTCTGTTTTGAAATTCTGTATCATTTTATTGTTTTTGTGTTGTTTTGTTTATGTCTTGTTTTTCTTATTTTGTTTTTAAGTTTCTATAAACAGGAGAACAAAAGTTAAAAAAAAAGATCTATGTTTTGGGTAAAAGAGTACCTGAAGTAGAGGCACACCCCAGTGGACCAAACCAGTGCCCCTTTAAGAAAGCAGATCACTGAGGCTGGATTAGCAGTGTGTGGGCAGACAGCAGGCTGGTGGGAAGGATGAGCGTGGAAGAGAAACACTATGCTGTGTGAATGCTGCAGACGCCAGGATATCTTGGCTGTAGAAGATACAAACTTGGCACAAACGTAACCAAACATTACAAAGAGCATTTCTGACCTGAAGAAGACTCCTGAGAGCTGGGAGTCCAGCTTTCCAAATCTGTAGTTACCTGGAGTAAAAAGAATAGCAAATACATGTGAAAGAATTCCATTTGTATAGTATATATATGTTTTTAGTATCAAGTGTTTTAAACATAGAGAACATGTAGTAGTATGTTTCCAGTTATCCTATTCCTTGGTAAGGGGTCCTTTTCATTTTTGTTGATTGTTCAAGTGGGGTTTTTTTTGCTGTAGACATTTGCAAAGAAAAAACTGTGTTTCCTTGTTACACTATTAAGAAAGATTATAAAAACTAGAGTAACAAAAATTATACAAAATCTTCATCCTTTTGACTGTATTCATTTAGATGTCTCAACCACACATAAAACTTTCAGCCAGTTTTGGTAAGAAGTTGCTCCTACTGTACTTCTATAGGATTGCGAATTCCTTTAACAAAGAGACTTCGTATTCTATACCTCTGTGGCTTTTAATACATGGCCTGGTGTAGTCAACATGCAGTTGGTGATTAAAGCAACATTTTTGTGCTTTGTTTTCAGATGGAGCTTGATAGATCAGCTGATCCTCCCCCTGCAATCTGGGTTGCAACAACCAAGTCTACAGTAAATAAGTGGGTAAGTGAACCACTGAATTCCTGGCAAAGATTTATGAACATGTGATTTGTAATCGTAAACCTGCCAGACACCTTAGGGCAGTGACAGAAACCTAAAAGCCATTATCATTGGGGGTGTGGCCCTGAACATCATACTAAAATTAATAGTCAAAATGCAGCCGACTCTTCAGCCTACCTCCGATAAAATGGGTACATATTTGATGTGATTAAAAGGGTGTGTTGCTTGATAAACCAGTAAGTACTGTACCAGCATAACTTCTGACTGCATGTCTAAGGACCAACAAGTCAGAGAAACCTGTCAGGATTCTGATTTTTCTAAATATAAGGGAGCATAGTGGGGCATGATGGTGCACACCTATAATCCCAGCACTCAGGAGACTGAGGCAGGAGGATTGCCTCAAGTTCAAGGCCAGCCTGAGCTAAATGGCAACACCATCTCAAAATAAAAGCGTAAAACTGCTTTCACATTTATTTCCTTTTTCTTCATAGCATGAAGAGCAAAGATAGAATAGAGCAAAACAAAGAGAAGCCGTCCAGAGCACTATTAACTCTTAACTCCAAAAGATTTAAGTTTTCTTATATAGCATACTCTATGGAAAGCAGGAAAGAAAGGCTACATTTCTTCTTGCTTATCTGCAGGTCAAATACTCTTTCCGTATAAAAACTTACAACTCTTGTCCAAATTTCACTGTACCGACTTTGGATCAATATAATTTTACCTAGAGAAGTATTCTGGCTTTTATGGTTGGTTTTTCCCTCCCAGAGAATGCTATTCCCTCCTTTTTTTTTTCTTAATGATGGTAAGTAATTGTACTGTGACTAAATATTTTTGGTTGATATAGTAATTGTTTAAGCGGTCTAATTTGCTTCCTCTTACCATCTTAAAAATAGCAAAACTCGTAGAGCATGAAATGATTAAATAAATTTTGTTCCTGTAGACACTGAAGGGAATTCATAATTTTAGAACCTCTGGAGATTATGACAATGACTGTTCAAGTCCGATAACTCCCCTTTGTACACAACCTGACCAGATTATTAAAGGTAAGAAAATTGTAAAATCTATTAAGTCTAGTTACAGTTACTGAGAGATTGATAAAGATAAAGATAATGATGTTTCTTTAAATATAAATGTGGCCAGGCGTGGTGGTGCACGCCTTTAATCCCAGCACTCAGGAGGCTGAGGTGGGAAAATTGGAAGTGAAGTTAATTCAAGATGGGACTTAGCAGAGATTTCCTGTCGGTATTTGTACTTTATTCAGTGGATAAATCTGTTAGCTGTCAGCAGTTTTCCACTGGTCATAGTCCCTGGGAATAAAGAGCTCTTTAATCTATAATCTATAATAAAATCAGTTTTTCTTTGAATGTTAATAAGTTCAAATAATAAATCACAAATAATTGATTGGCCTTAAAGTGCTTTATATGTTATATAATCTGCTAGTTTTTATTTTTTTTTCTAGTGGCTAACATAGCTTATATTCCTGTTACATGCCAGTAATATACTCTGAATTTAAATAAGAAGGATTTGCTTGCTAATTTTGTTTTCCCCCCCCTTTTAGGGGGTGCTAGTATTATTCAGTGTCACATTCTTAATGATAAGAGACATATATTAACCAAAGACACCAATAATAACGTGGCATACTGGGATGTATTGAAGGTAAGTATCTTTTTAGTATTATATACAGGTTGTTGCATTATGTATCTGTTTTTCCTTTTATGTTACTAAATATAACAGATAGGTAAAGAATTGTAATAAAACTTTTTTGGGGGGAGGGTACTTTATTATATGAATGTTAAATAAGTACATAGTTTATCTTTTTAAGCACCTAAACTATTTGAATGGAACTATTTTCTCTGATTAGTGTTCTACAAGTTGTGCTATATGCTGATTTACCTTAAGAATGAATATTTGTGCTGGATAATTCTTCAGTTGTGGGGACAGCTGGGCTGTGCACTGTAGTATGTTCAGCAGTATCCCTAGTCTCTACCCACGAACTTCCACTAGTCCCCCACCCACCCAAGTTGTGACAGCCAAACTTGTCTCTAGATATTGCCAGATGATTGGAGGGAAGAAAGATACAGAATCACCCTACACTGAAAGCCGCTGAAGTACATAAAATAAGTTTTGCTGTTTCTTAGGATTTATAGCCATCACTGAGCATCTCTGACACAAGCAGAGTACAACCCTGGGTCACGTTACCCTCTATTCCCCAGAATAGTTGAGGTGCATTCAGCTATTCAACCACATTCTAAAAACAGCACTGTCACTTAATGTCCCATAATGCTGTTGGTGTATTTATTCATTTACCCAACAAATATTTCCTCGGTTTAATGATGAACAGAGAACTGTTTGAGGATTATAAATGATGGAAAAATCTGCACCACAATCCCCTGTAGTAGGAGGGAAAAGAGTAACATGGTAAAAACCTTAAAGAATAAACATCACACAATAACTTATGGACAGGGCGGTTACAGTACTTACAACTGGAGAGATCAAGAGAGCTTCATGAGAGAGAAAATCATTTGAACAAGGGCTTAAAGGTTAATGGGGAGAGGGCATTTCAGGAAGGCATGAGTGACAGAGGTGTTGAAGAGGGGGAGGTACATGCTTTTCTAGCTAAAGTGATTGGTTTTATTTATTTGGAAATGAGAGTAAATATAAGGGAGTAGTGGAGTTGTAAGGGTAAAACATGGCGTTTAGGTCTTTTCCCAAAGAGTCTTAAATCACAGGGCCCACAGTTGACCTCTCTTTGGTACCCCTTGCAGAATACTAGATAATTTTAGAGCAAGGGAATACCTTGTTCAGAGTAGTAGTCATGTATGTAATGGGATTCTGGAAGCTGGAAGACATGTCTTAAGCATCATGTTTTGAGGATCTAATGGTAGAGAGAGAAAGAAGACGTAAAAGAAGACTTGAAAAGATCCAGTGTTTTGGTTAAACTAATGATGAAGAAGAGAGTCACTTAAATTAACTTTGCTATCTGAAGAAAGATAAGCAAGCTTATTACTGAGGAAAAAGGAACCATCTCTGAACAGAAACCTTTGCCTGACCACTACTTTTCCTCCCTGTGGGACAGTTATGTGAGAAGTCCATTATGAAACAGTTGCAGAGTGAGTGTGGCTTTGGAACAAGAGGCCTTAGTTACTTGAGTGGAAAGTTTGCAGTGGCTGTCAGAAGTCTGGTGTTTTTCTCACAGTAGAGAGCTGCTTGTCAGGGGATTGGATACCCAGATTTGTTTCAAAGAGGAGTCCCATGGTGGTTGGTAGGATCTAGTACATCCCTAAAGAACTCATCAGCAGAATGTCTTGATTCTTCTCTTTGAAACTCCACTAGTAATGTGGCCTTATCTCTGTCTTAAGACTGGGCTTCACTTCATGCTGCCCAGCACCTAATTGTCTCCAAAGAATCTGATCAAGCCAGCTACTTTTTGAGATCGATTTTCTCTCTGGGCTGGTGCCCATTCTTGTTTAGCTGATGCCTGAGGATAGTCCTGTGTGAGTAGGGGGAAGTTCTACTCAGGTGGGATTCTGAGCTGACATGTGCCATGATTAGCATTTCTGTGTGACCTGAGAGCTTCCTATACCCAGATGCTAGACCTAAACATAACCGTAAGCAGTTTAGGAGAGTCAAAAGTGTTAAAACTCATACACAGGAGTTTGAGCTGCATTCTAGTCTTGGTTCTTTCAGCTTCTAGTAAAATGATCTGTGGAACATGTTGAACTTCTCTAAACCTCTGTCTTCATTCCTAATGTGTGAGGGGGTGCCTATGTCTAGACAGACTTGAAGAGATGTTTAAGAACTATTAGCACTGTCTCTGGCACATGCCAGTTAGAAGGCTGTTGTAGTCATACAGTTGAAAGGTGGCATTTGTCTGGACTAGGATGGAAACAAGGAAAATGGGGGGAAATGAGGCAATATGAAGGAAAGGAAGAAGCAAGGATGAGTTCCAGTTTTCTGAACTGCAGAGTTTGGTGGATGAAAGTGATATAGGGAATATATAAAGCTGAAAGTGGGTGGTAGGGGAAAAGCAATATGCTGATCAAGATGATGGATTTGAATTTTTGTTTTGTTTTGTTTTTCTCCGGTACCGGGAACCGAACTCACGACCTTGCGCTTGCCAGGCAGGTGCTTTTGCCGCTGAGCTAAATCCCCAGCCCCTGGATTTGAATTTATATGGGATATCTGGGTAGAAGCGTCTGGAGGGCAGGCCACTCTGCAGTCTAGCACCTAGGTTAAAGAACTGGGCTGGATTCAGTGAATCCCCCTATTGCTATGTTGTCCTTCTTTTACGCTTTACAATAAAAAAAAAAAAAAAGAATTGGGCTGGATAAACCATCCAGCAGTCATCAGCTTGTAGATTAGAATCGATGTCATGGGGAATGTTAGGGTTTCTAAGATACGTGTCTACACTAAGAAGAGAATAAACTAGGTGATTGCTGTTGTTAGGGTGTTGGAAAAAGAAAGCCACAAAGATGCATGACAGAAATGGACAAAAAAGCTGGAGCCAGTGCCCCTCAAGAACTAATTGAGTGTTTCAGAAAGGGGCTTGTGATTCGTGGCATCAGCCAACTGAAAGTTCATTTAAAATATGGATACTAACATGGATTTAATCAGTAATGAAAGGGCTTCTGCAAGAGAATCTTGCAGGCAAAAGCCAGGTGGAGGGATTCAGTAGCAGTTGGGAGGTGAAGGGAGAGAACCTGAGCAGTGATAGTCTTTGAATTATTCAACTTGCAAGGGGATAGGAACACATGGAGATGCAGTACCTAGAGTGTTACGGGTAAGAGGACCCAAAGGCAGGTTTTGTTTTTTATTTGTTGGGAATTTAAGGTAGAAAAATTTGAGCATGTCTCACTACTTACAGAGAATAAAGCCAAGCAAGAGTAGAGACACAGGAAGGTTGATGGTAGTACAAGATCCCAAGAACCAAAAGGTGATGAGATCCAGGGCACAGCCAGAAGGGTTCCTTTTTCCTTGTACCCGAAGAATGGGAGCAGAAAGTTAAGGGAATTCTATCAGGGCTCCTCTTTCTTTTTTTCAAGGTGTTACAATTATATGCTGACAGTAGTCGGGGAGGTGGCAAATCCAGTATATGATGAGAGTAGAGGCTTGACAGAGTTCTTATGGAGAACAGGCTTGAGAAGCAGAAAAGAATCTCGGATAGCAAGAATGACCTATTTGAGATTGGAGGCCGTGAATTTACAGTGGCAATATTATCAAGGAATTGAGACGCCACTGTGTCACGTGTGTTGTCCATGTGGGTGTAGATGTTGCTGGGATGAAGGCAAGTACTTAAGGGGCACTGCTGGATGGGAAGCCAGGGCTCGAGCATGGGGTGAATAAGGAAGAATGACCGTGGGTCTGCTGGATGGCAGTGAGGGAAAGGTGTGTGTGCTTTGCCACAAGTAAATGGCATGGGCCTTAGAGAAGGAGGAGTTTCTGCAGGGGTCTCCAGGTGGCACCTGGGCAGCAGTGGAAATTGAGAGAGTAAGTGGGGTCTCCCTTTGAGACAACCGCTGATAAAGAAGGACTCTGAGGAAGGAGCCAAGTTGTGGTTGAGATGAGATAGTGGAGGGAACATTATGTGGTGTGGTTCAGAATTGAAGGAGCTGTACTTGGATATACCGTTGGGCACCAGTGGAAGTTCAGGGTACGCTTTTGGGGGCCACACGTACTTAGGGAATGAGAAAACAAATAAGGATGGATTGCAGTGGTCAAGAAAGAAACTCACAGATTGCTGCCTGTATTGTATTAGCTGTTGTCTAAGGGTAACTTCATGGTTCTCTTAAGTTAGTATTTACTCGCTGGTTACTTGGAGAATTTTTTTCCCCTTCTTTTGAGTTTCATTTGACATTGCTTCCAGAGGAATGTGATGGTATTAATGCATCACAAAATTAAATTAAAACTCCCCAAAAAATGTTTTCTGAATTTAAAATTTTAGTAACAGCATATAGTCACTTAAAGGTAAATGCCTCAAGATATAAATTAACCACATTCTTTTTGAAATGTATTTTAGAAGCTACAGTATTTCATTTAGGCAAATATATGTAAAATTTTGAATAGCAAAGTAAGAATCTAGTCAGTTCATCACTTAATGTTGGTCATACTTTTTTTATGTATAGGCATGTAAAGTTGAAGATCTGGGCAAAGTGGATTTTGAAGATGAAATTAAGAAAAGATTTAAAATGGTGTATGTGCCAAACTGGTTCTCAGTAGACTTAAAAACAGGGGTAAGTTGGCAGTTGATCCTTGTATAATTTGATATTAAAGATTTCAAGCATATTCATAATTACTCTTAATTACAAAGTTCTTTGTTTTTAAGTGTGTGAGAGAAAAAATTTCATGTTAATATTTCAGACTGTAGTTTAAATGCCTTTGGTATCCTTTGGTATCTCGTAAACTATAGTTGGGTTGGATCACATGAAACACCTCCGTTGGTCCCTGAATCTTTAGCCTAACGTTTTAATCAAATAGTACACGTAGATAAAGGTGTAGAGACTTACTTTGAAATGCACTCAAGATGGGACACCACAGTGGTTTCCTCTCTTGGCAGATGCTGACTATCACTCTGGATGAGAGTGACTGCTTTGCTGCTTGGGTTTCTGCAAAAGATGCTGGCTTCAGCAGCCCTGACGGCTCAGACCCAAAACGTGAGTTCTGTCTGTCCGTCACTTCCTCCTCCAAAAGAGAAGGTAGATACATGCTGTTTTGTGCTGTATAATTATCTTGGTCAGGGTCCCTTAAATGTAATCACTTACACCCTTGATCAATGTGCTAAGAATGTGGTACTGTACATGGAAACAAATATCTGCACCCAGAACAGGGGTAGAGCAGCTCTTGGCAGCCCTGGGGGCGGGTACCATGCCTGTTCCGGGGTGCCACGGAGAGAAAAAAAAATGCAAGTATCCCGTGTGTACAAATACAATTGTAATGGCAGTAGTACTTTAAGAATGTGATTCTGGTTTCGTTTGTTTGTAGAGAATGGCTGTTCTGAACAAACATGTAGAATATTTTTGCTCTCTATCATCATTGCTTTAAACATTTTAAGATGAAACTAACAGGCTTGGTAAAATCTCTTAAGTCTTGATTTTGAATACTAGCATTGGATTAAGATTTTAGCATGAGAATATGTGAAAACTTTAAATTTGTATTTTGTTACTTCTGTTTTTAAAGTACAACTAATTAACTGTGTTTTCCATTGTTTTCTTTTTAACTAACTTTTGCAGTGAATTTAGGAGGACTTTTACTCCAGGCACTCTTAGAATATTGGCCTAGAACACATGTGAGTCCAGTGGATGAAGAAGAAAATGAAGTAAACCATGGTTAGTGTTTTTCATTCACTAGATAATGGACAAGAATGTCAGAATCAAAAGGTGCTTAAGCCATTGGCTAAAATGTGACAGTAAATATTTGTGCTGTGCCCAATTAATTTTCTTCCCTTCAGCTTGTCAAAGTATGTGGTGCTAACTGACACTGAGGTTCCCAAAGGAGCAGATGACCATGCAGTGTGTTTTTCAGTAAGAGAAACTGCTCGAAACAGATAAAACTCTGTGACCTTTGCCTTAAAACTAGGCACCTTAGGCTTATTCTAAAAATATTTCTCAGTGTTTATGTGACCTTCTGGATTTACCTCCCAAACTCTCTAATTAGCTACACCAGAAAGCCAGGTTACTGTTGCATAGTCATGGTTCATACTGGCCTGAAATGCTACATTACCTAGCCTGACGATCTACCTGATTTTGACTGACTGATTTCAGACTCAGAAGTGCCAGGGTACATGAATGACTGTATGTAAACAATGTCACTAAGGGTGTTATAAAGGTGTATGCACCACAGACAGTGGCTATAACTTTCCTTGGGCAGCAGAGAACATATTTTGGAAGTATACATTTGGCTTGCCTTGATTAAAGGAAGGGGAAAGAAGAACTCCATTTCACATCACATGTGTAACCCAACAGCTGGGTGAGGAGTCACCAAGTCCCACCTGCTGAGGCTCACCCTGCTCAGGATTCTCTGCTGACCACCAGGAGTGAGCAACAGTGGCAAATACTTCCTGCCAGGGACTTCTTTCTGACTGACATATTCATCCATAATGATTTGTGGAATTTAAATCTCTCCGCAGTGATGACGGGCTTCATGCTTCCCTGAAAACCCAATCTGCTGGTGCCCCTTTTAGAGAGAGGATACTGCCAGGCGTGGTGGCACATGCCTGTAATCCCAGCACTGGGGAGGCTGAGGCAGGAGGATCCGTTGCAAGTTTGAGGCAAGCCTGGGCTACAAAGTGAGCTCAAGACCAGCCTGAACTGCATATCAAGACCCTGTCTCAAAAAGACCAAAAAAAAAAAAAAAATAGAGGGTACTGTCCACCCCTGGGGGCTTTGCTTTTCTATCATCCGGCTCACTTCAGTCCCTGCCAGAACTGTCCCGTGGACTGGGAGCCAGAGAAACCAAAGATATCTCTGCAGAGGGCCTAGAAACCTAGGTTCTGATGTGAGCTCTACACTTAACCAGCTCGGTAGCTGTCCATAGGTTATTTCCAGTTACCTAGGATGTTCTGAAAGGCCCAAATAAACAATAAGGATTAAGTAATCAGAAATAGCACCCCTTAGATCTAGGCTGTGAGTGGGGGGAATAAAGAAAAGAATCACCAAAAACCTTACATCATCCTTATAGTCAAACTGCCATGGGAAAGCAAGGCCAGTTCTGCCCACCTTCTCACCCACAGCGCAGAGCACTGCCTGCTCCACCTGTCTGTGTGCCTGTGCTGCGCTCAGGGCTACTCCAGCACTGTTTAGAGTGGGCTTTGTGAGCAGTCATTCAGTCTGCAGAGCCCCGTAGCAAGATGCAGGGGGCTTAGTAAAGATAAATGGGCATGGGCCCTGTCCTTCAGGGCTCACGGTCTGCTAGCAGAGAGCTACTTCCATAAGCATTCTGAGGTTGAGGAGAAATGCTGAGTGCTGTGAGAGAGGCCCCAGTAGTGCTGTAGCATGTCAGGGCAAGACTCTGCTCCGTGTGTTTAGGGTACTGTTTGTGAATGAACTGCCACACGGGGCCAGCTGCTCTTGGCTGAGATGATTACAAAGAAGAGTGGGCATGAAGTCTGTAGATAACAATAAAAATTACATCCCCTTTGAGGATTTTGTATTTCAGTATACTTATGTTTTATTAGCTATGGCTGCCATCAAACATGTTTTTCCTGAAGAAATGTTTTGGAGGGAAGAGAAAGTTGGGGTGGGAACAGAGAAAAAAACCGTTTATAAATAGGTATCCTAGACTTTCGTGTGGCTAAAGTAACTAGTTACAGTTTTGTTGTGAATATCAAACATTAATCTCATTTATTTCAGAGTACAGTCATTTCTCATACTGTACAACACAAGTTGCCATGTTTCTCATTTTCGGGGATTTAACCTTTGTTTTTTGTTTTTTTTTCAAACTCTGGCTGACTTACAGGACCTTCTTGGTTTTTTAGTTTTTTGAGACAGGGTCTCCCTATGTAGTTCAGGCTGTTCTTGAACTCACTCTGTACCCCATGCTGGACTCAAACTCATGGTGATTCTCCTGCCTCAACCTCCCAAGTGCTGGGATTATAGGTGTGTGCCACCACACCCAGCATTCTGGGACTTGTGACTTTTAAAATCTTGCAATATTTGAAGCTTATGGAAATTAAATGTGTAGAATTTGTTTTTTTAGCCCTACCCCTGGATACTAACACCACCTTCATCTTTTTCTAGTAAATGGGGAACAGGAAAACCGAGTACAGAAGGGAAATGGATATTTTCAAGTGCCCCCACATACACCTGTGATCTTTGGTGAAGCGGGAGGTCGAACACTGTTCAGGTAGGGTAAGAAGGACCGCAGGTCCTGCCTAAGGGAGCTCCTATTTGCTAAAAATATTGGCTCACACACACATTAGAAGTGGTTTATTGCCAACTTGTGGGAATGTCAGGAATTTGGAAAACTTTCCATGTCCATGAGCTAGTTAAACCTCTGATGCCGTCAAACCATATTACGGCTGAAAAGCAGCAGCTGTGGTATTAGAATGAGGCAGACACTGCCATTCTGACAGGCAGCTTCTCTGATGGTTTCTCCAGGAAACTCTTACTTCCTCTCACTTCGCTGGTGTGACTGCCAAGTCAGAACAGATGGCATCACCAGAAAGCCCTGCCCACAGGAGAGCATCAGTATGTGATGCACTTCGAGCCAAACTGGCAAAATGAGCTAGGTTGCTCTCAGGAGCTGCTATGGCTGACATGGCCCAACCTGGGAAGCCAAGCAGTCTTTTGTGGGACCCTCGAGGAGAAATGCTGGTCTGGCAGCCTGCACTCCAGGTTGCCAGAAGTACTGTGGTGGAGCCAGGGGGAGAGCTCACTGATTTCCCATTGATAGCAGGAATGAGGAAAACACATGGCTTGCCCCTGAGAATCCTCCACCCTCACGGTGGTTTCCTGAAAAGTTGTCACCGGCCCCGTTGCTTGTGGAGTTCTGTGCCGTGTACAGTAGCACTGTCAGGAAACCTTTCTGTAGTGTTTTGCTTATGCCCATCCTCTCCTTTTTGACCCAAGGATTCAGAGAAGCCACTGTAGTGGATGTCTGGCCTCAAAATCTGACAGCCTGAGTACTGGGGCCTGCTTTGCCATTTAGCTGTTAGTCACTCTGCCTGGCTGGACTTCCTCAGCAGTCTTTGAGGTTCCTCCCCCGAGCTCTTGTGAACAATGATTTTGTCACCTGTGCTGGCCCTTTCACTCACTCCCTGATGAATTTTGTTTAGGCTGCTCTGCAGAGATTCCGGGGGTGAGACCGAGTCGATGCTTCTCAATGAGACAGTGCCACAATGGGTGATTGACATCACTGTGGACGTAAGTGTCCTCTGCTTTCACTTTCCCCTTTCATTGTTTACACGTCATAAAACTGAGAATTGCCCTAGACAGTATAACCTTAAACTTGGTTTTTTTGGTTTTTCTGGTTTTTCTCCGGTACCGGGAACCGAACTCACGACCTTGCGCTTGCCAGGCAGGCGCTTTTTGCCGCTGAGCTAAATCCCCAGCCCCTATAACCTTAAACTTGACTAAAAGCTAGACTCTTGTCTGCTTCCCTACAGCTCCAGAGTTGAAGCACTAATAATTATTTGTATGTGTATTTCTATTTCTACTGGTTTTTAATTATAACAATAATATGTACCTATTTAATAAAGTAATAAATGAGTGCAGTAAAATGCCCCTCTCCTGCAGTCATGCCTCCTCTCCCGCTCCCTACCTTCCTCCCCGAGATAACAACTACACACAGGTCAGTGCACAGCCCTTGTTGCTTTTTTCTTTGCACACACAAGTAGATATTATTCCTGTGCACACACATGCACACACACATATACACATAGTTCATTTTATTTTGCACAAAATCTCTTTTACATACTCTTACGCAACATTTTGACTAAATAATATCCCATAGTATAGCTGTACCCTGATTTATTTTATCGGTCCCCTGTTAACAGCCATTTGGGTTGTTTCCGGTGTTTCCACTTACAAACAGTGCTGCAGTAAACATCCTTGTACATATACCTTTGTGGAGTTTTTAGCATAAATTCCTAGAAGTGGAATTGCTGGATCAAAGGGTGCGCCGTACATTTTGAATTTTGACAGATTCTGCTAAATTGCCCTCCAGAAAAGTTGTACCAGTTCACACTCTCACTGACAGACTTGAGTGCCCTTTTCCCACACCCACACAATGCCAGATATTTTGGGTTTTTGGAGGGGTTGGTTTTTTTGAGACAGGGTTTCACTATGTAGTTCACGCTGGCCTTGAACTCACAATGATCCTCCTGCCTCAGCCTCCCAAATGCTGGGATTATAGGTGTATACCACCATCCCCAGCAATGCCAGATACAATGCCAGATATAATCTTTGTTATAAGACAGGCAGATTTTATTTCATTATTTAATACGGACTTTTAAAAAATCATAGTGAGGTTTAAGCATCTCTTCTTATTGGCCATTTGTATTTCTTCTATTAATTGTTTGTCCTTCTTACAGATTTGTAGCAGTTCTTTATATTGAATATTAATCCTTTGGCTATCCGCTGTGTCTCTCAAACTTTTACAGTGCTTTGTTCATGGTGTTCTTTCTTTTTTTTCTTTTTTTCCTTTTTTTTTTGGTTGTTTTTGAGACAGTCTCACTATGTAGTTCAGGTTGGCCTTAAACTCACTGTGTAGCACAAGCTGGCCGTGAATTTGCAGCGATCCTTCTGCCTCAGCCTACCAAGTTGTTCATGGTGTCTTTTGCCAAGTGAAAAGAATAAACTCTAACATATTAAAGACCTATATACAAAAAAATTACCATAAAGGCCCTAAAAGAAAATATAAAAAAAGGGGGCTGGGGATTTAGCTCAGCGCCAAAGCGCCTGCCTGGCAAGCGCAAGGTCGTGAGTTCGGTTCCTGGTACCGGAGAAAAACCAAAAAAAAAAAAAAAATATATATATATATATATATATATATATATAAAGCATTTTTTCACTGTTCTGGAGTGGGAAATACCTAAACAGAATATGGAACTCTAAGCCATAATGGTTCAATTTGATTATGTAAAAATTAAAGTTTTTCACTTTATTTCCCTTTAATACGTTGTGCTTTTATTGAAGAAGAGCCATGTTTTCAATTCATATGCCCACTAATACTACATGTGGTTTGTCTTTACATATCTTTTATCACAAAACTAAGCCTACTTTTCAAAAATAAATAAATAAACCTACTTTTCTGATTTTCTCTAAGGCTGACTTAATTTGATAGCTTATTATAAATTACACAAAATTACTTATAAAATTACTTGTAAATTATGTTTTCCTATTGACAGCATTTTAGTTTGTCAGCTAATAGAAACTATTACACCTTTTTAATTTTCAATATTTCAGAAAAACATGCCCAAATTCAACAAAATTCCTTTCTACCTCCAACCTCATGCATCTTCAGGAGCAAAAACCTTAAAAAAGTAAGTACATTTAGTATCATGTTATTCCTTGATCTAATTCATTACTTGAGAGAACTCTTTCCTTATGGTTTGCTTTATAACATAGGAGACAAGTACTAGAGCTAAGGCAACTTTATAATATTGATGGATTTTGCCTCTTACAAAAACTCATTTAGGACAGAACTTGTGTATAACTGCTCTTATGATACTTAAGGAATAATGTGAGTGGGGAAAAGAAAAGTTTTTCACTGGACTTTTCCTAAAAGGCTTCCTGAAGGACGTGGAATTAAAGCTGGAAATGTAAGGATGGGTAGAACTTCAGGAGATACATATTGCAAGTGCAAGACCCAGTTTGATCAGGGATTTGGAAGTGGGAGTGTGCCGAAGATACCTGCAGCCTTACACAAAGAAAACAGAATAACGAGTACCACTGACCCATGAGAGTTCAGTAACTATTAACACCTGGCTGTAAACATGTTGCTGTCTGTTCCCCTGCTTTCCCTTCCACACATTTCCCTCCACTTGAATCCAAAAGTCCTTTAAGGCAAGTCCTTTACATCCCTTCAACTAAACTAAGGCACTGATGGCTTTCAGAGCATAAACCTTAGCAGTTTAGTTTGACAATTATAAACGGATGTCAGAGGTTCAGAAGTAGGTCTTGGGAATAAATGAGTCAAGCTGGAAACACCTGACTGCAGATGCCGAGCCCAGCCATTGCGTCTGTGGTCTGAAGCAGACGGCTGAGACTGGCCGTCTGAACTGGGGCATCGTGTCCCACCTTCACATTTAGTAGAAGGCCTGACAAATGAGAGAGCCAAGGGGAAACTGAGCCTCAAGAGGCTCTGGGCCTGCCTTCCCTTCCAGGGTGTTTCATTTGCCCGTGCTTTGTGGAAGTGTCTAGGGGACTAAAACCCAGGTAGCTGTTCTGTGTGCTGTGTAAATTTCAAGAATCTCATTTAGTGGCACATGATCTGTACCTTTAGAGGACACTAAAGGAAAAACCTTCCACAGTGCAAAACATGGGTTAAGGCAGTGACTAAAATCATTGATCATGTTTCTGTATTGTGTGCTATAAGATGATGACACCAAAGAAAAATAACATGGAACAGATGATAGCTAGTGATCCTTCCTGACGCCACAATGTGCTGTTTCCTTTTACAGAGATAGACTGTCTGCTAGTGACATGCTCCAAGTCCGAAAAGTAATGGAACATGTTTACGAGAAAATTATCAACTTAGATAATGAATCTCAAACCACTAGCTCTTCTAATAATGAGAAACCAGAACAGGAGAAAGAGGAGGATATTGCTGTGCTGGCAGAAGAAAAAATCGAACTTTTGTGCCAGGACCAGGTAAGTAAACTTAAGAAGCATAACCCCATTTTTTTCTAGTGCTGGTGCTCAGAAGGTTACGTTATCTGTATGGTATGATTGTAGATCCCAAATCTGTTATTTTGGGGATGCTTCTGCTTTCAGAGAGGCTCTCTTCTGCCTATCTCTGTCTCTGCAGACCTTTAGAGGATATTCACCACCCTAAACCTCCTTTTTACTTGAAGAGAGTTTTCAGGCAAGGGACCCAGTGGTTTAAAGACAGAGGTCCATGAGTGGAGTGGAGGTAGGTGGAGAAGTGGAAAGACTGTCTAAATCACAAAGGCATTTCTGGAGAAGGGCTGAAAGCCTTGTATTTCTGGCACCACTACAGACAGTGCACACCTCACTGTACCCAGCGTCACACCTGCCTCAGGGAAGCTGTGATGGCAAGAGCAGACTGCCAGGCATGAGGGAGGGCAGACAAGCTGGGTCACCCAGAACTCCTCACTTGAGGATGAAAGTTTTAAACATCAGAGACTTTCGACATTTTTAATGTAATTTTTGCTTTTTAGGTTTTGGATCCAAATATGGACCTTCGAACAGTGAAGCACTTCATATGGAAAAGTGGTGGTGACCTCACCCTGCATTACCGCCAGAAATCCACGTGAAGGGTGGGCCAGTGCTCCTGGGTATCCATTAACTACCTTCCTCTGCGGCCCCAAGAGTAGTCCTAGGAAGCCCACCGAGCCCAGCGGGAGCGAGACTTCTAACGACCAGTTTGGTATGGACCGAGATTCTTTCAGTTGAAGTGACTAATCGAGATGTAATATAGAAACCAGTCTCCAAGTGTAGATTAAGCTGCCCCAGGAAGCAGTGTGGAGGCAGAAGAGCCCCAGGCAGACTTTGTCCTGCAGCTGTACAGACAATTGACCGCAGGCCAGTGCAGACTTCGCTTCCTCTCCTTTCAAAGGACCTTATCTGTGTCTGTTAGCACTTGTTAGAAAACATGGTTGACCACACCTGTCACTGTGTTTCAACTTCAAACCCACAGCTGTGTAGCTTTTCTAAGAGTACATTCATTCCTGCAGTACCTATGAAGGCTTTTTCCAAGTTGGTCATAAAAAAAGTCAAATTGTTTTCACCATGTAAGACAGTTATTTTTAATGGTAATTTGCTGTTGCACAATTTGAGAGCCAGCCCATTTCATAATAAATGATGAGCGTTGGGCTTGTTTTTAATATTGCATCTCAGATGTACCCTTGTAGGAAGCTCTGTGGAGATTCCAGGTGCTGGGTCACAGCACACATGACCCCCGGGCAGCGCGTGCATGGTCCGAGCTCAGTGATGCCGAGCCCCGCGCAGGTCCAGGGAGGCTCAGCCATTCCCTCTTTGCTCTAGTGTCATTTTACTCCAGGCAGAGGCAGCTGAAACTGGCTTCCCGCTCTGGATAAGCAGTGTGACACCATCAAAACGTAAGACCAAGAAGAAGGTTTAATTGCATTCAAGTGCTTCCTAAACTGTCTGGTGTCAAGAGTAAAGGGACAGCACAGTGAGTTCCTATCTAGAAAGTGAAGCTATTTGTTTTTCCAGGATTTTATACGCAGGTTTTTGTTGTTAACTGTATCCGGATCATCTTTTCACTGTTCTTTCTAACAATCTAAAGCTTTCATAGAGTCACTTGGATCTTGTACAGAATATAACTTATTGGGGATAAACACTTCAACTTTTGGCAGAAAATACTTGGGATTCTTCCCAAGGTCATTTGTATCAGAACAGAACAGCAGTCCACCCCCCATAAAACCACATAAGCAAGCCTCCTTGCATGAAGCCAGAAGCACAAGTGCCTTCCGAGGGCAGTTATTCCAGTCCCGTCGTCTCCCAGCGTGTGTGGCCTGTCCTCACGGCAGCAGGCACTGGGGAAGGGGGTGGAGAAGGTTTTTGTTTCCTGCATCTTCACAGATTCAGTTAAGGGCAGCTGATGGGCCCAGGTCCATTCCTCACTACTCGAGATCCTCTGGTCAGCACAGCTGCAGCGTTCCCTCACTGCTGGTCAGCGAGCTTTGGAAAGTGACAGGTCATTGCCTCCTGCACCTTAAAGAAGCAAGCGAAGACATGGCCACGTTTCCAAGGAGCTGAAATGGTCCTTCTCCCCTCCTCAGAGAGCAGCCAACCTCTTTTTATTAAAAGTCCTTTCTATGTTAGATACAACAGTGCACTTTTGGTGCACTTTTTTTTTAGCAATAGTTGTGAACAAATGGCAAAAAAAAAATCTCATTGAGCAGCCCTGAGCTGTTTGCACACAGGGCCTTTGAGTTAAAGGAGCAGGTTTTGGCCAGATGTGGTGGCGCACACCTAGAATCCCAGCACTCAGGATGCTGAGGCAGGAGGAACGCCAAGAGTTCGAGGCCAGCCTGGGCTACATGGTAAGTTCAAGGCCAGCCTGAACTGCATAGTGAGACCCTGTCTCAAAAACAGAAAAAAAATAAAGGAGCGGTTTTGCTGGGTCATCTGCCATGTGCTGAGCCTTGGGCGACTGTGTCCCTTCCTGTCATAGATCTGACCCCAGCATGGTTGTTACTTTTTCCCTTCCAGTCAAACCAACAGTTTCCAGAAAATTTGACGGTCTGCAATGCCAAAAGGGTAAAAATCTTATTTCACAATTGTATGGAATAAAGAACTTAGTTAAAATATTTCCAAGTGTAGTAAACTTGTTTTTACTTGCCATTTTCGTTCATAGTGGATCACATGTTCACCCTGGGGTAGTCAGCATGGATAACCACGCTACCCCAGTGGTAAGGAAGGAGTAAAAGCAGTGAGGGCAAGAGCCAGAACCTGCCAGAGAGGGTCACCGTGGGCCAGCCCACAGGCCGCAGGGCCCTGCACAGGCCTGTGGTGACTCCGTTCTGCTCCCGGCATTCCTGCAGACCCACACTGGGCTCCTGGACAACCCAGCACACAGCCCTCACTGTTTTGCACCCACCAGCTGCTGTGGTAGGCCTGACAAGGGCTGGCTTTAAAAGCAGTCACGGTGCTTAGAACTTAATGTTTGCTAATTTGGGGCCTTGGTGCCCCACAGTTCAGGGTGTGTGTGTGTGTGTGTGTGTGTGTTACAAATGGTGCCCGTACAAGTGAGAACTCAGCAAGGCAGATGTTAGAAGACAAGGCCAGAGGCAGCGTTCCTGGTAACTAGCAAAGGGCAGTGACTGGGAGGGTGGGGACTGCAGTCAACAGCAGAGGACTTCAGTTGGTGAGGGGCCATCCAAAGGCACTTGGGGTTTGGGGAGCAGCTTCCCTGGTACTACAGAAAAGGACAGCAGGACACTTATCTACTCTTGTCTGGGCCCCCACTTTGCTCCTGGGGTTGGGGCTCTGTAAAGAAGCCTAGTCAGGTGGTGAGCTGGCCTTGAGTGTTACTCAGGATGGTGAACTTAAAGCTGTAGCTTTTCATCATTGTGGTTGCCAAGGTGCTTTGTACATTCAGAGGCAATAGCTGTTTATGTTTGGGAGCTGGCAGGAGTCACCACGGGGGACACTAGATGTGTGCTCAGAGGCCAGGGGAAGAAGAGCCCATCATGAGGCTCCTCTGCTGAGGGGCAGAAGTGGGCAAGGGCAGCCTCTTCGGTGCTGACTGGCATCAGCCTAAGGACAAGGCCAGTGACAAAGGAATCAGTGATTAGGACAGGAGCGGGGGAGTCTTGGAGCTTGGGGCTCCTCCCAGTAGATGGGACCGTGAGCTGTACAGGAAAGGTCAAGACCAGCCCTACAAAGCCATGGACTCTTCCCCTTCCTCACTCACCCCATCTTCACACAGGTCGAGACTGGGCCTGCTGCCTCCTGGGGAGCCCATGACATGATGGCTGCTGGTTCTAAGGTGCATGGCCTCCTGTCACTACCCAGTGAGGTTGCCTGTGCCTCCCCTAGCCCAGCTCTTGGGAAATACTCAAGCTGAGTGCTTCTCCCAGCCCTCCAACACCGAAGTCCCCTTTGAAGCCGTCCAACCCAGGCCCAGCAGGCAGGACGAACACCCTAGGGTCATCTCATGGAGGCTAGAAGCAAGCTCTGAGCAGACACCAGAGTCCCTGCCAGAGCCCCATGGGCTGCAGTGCCATGTGATCCCTGCATGTTGCATGGCGCTGCAGCCCCAGAAGCTGGACACAGGGCTAGGACCGGGCACACAGCTGGTAAAATAACCTCAGGCACCTTGTCACAGCCCAGAGTGTAATCCTGGGGTAGAGACCTCGGCCTGGCTGGCCAACCCATCGGCCTCTGCCCTGACATCAGAGTTGTCAATGCTTGCAGGCTCCTCCTCAGTCTGAGCTTCCAGCAGCTCCGCAGACAGCCCGTCTTCTGGTGACGCTGCAGCGTTGAGGCTGTCAGGAAGAGTTAACTGAGGCAGGTGGTCTGGCTGAGCTTGGGATCCAGGGCTGTCCAGGAACGAGACTTCAAACTCTGACCCAGACCAAGTGGCTTCCCCTGAAACACAAAGGTGGAGCTCAGAAGGCCTGCAGCTCCCGGCTGGCCCCGCCCACTGCCACTCGGCCTCTGACGGGAGACAGGAGAGCAAGTATATGGATCCTTGATATTGCCAAGCTCTAGCCCAGCTGAGCAATTAGTGCTGTCAACAGCACTGTTCACCGGAAGGTGCTGGTCACTCACCACCTCGCTCATGAGAACTGCTGCTGGAGCCGATGTCCTCTGGCCCTGAGGCTGAGACCACTGTGGAAGAAGGCAGGCTTGGCCACACACTGGCATTGCCACTGTCCAGGAGGGAAAGGCCAGACACATCTAGGAAGCCTGGGGCAACACAAAACCCCAACTGTTGGAAAGCCAGGACGGTACCCTCACCCTGCCCAGTGCCCAGGGCATCTAGCTGGCCAGCCTGCAAGACTCCAACATCCCCAGCCTCTGGTGAGCCCCTCCCCAACCCCAAGTAGCATCCCACTGCTATTCCTGCACAACAAAAGAGGCCTAAAGTTGGTCATCATGGGACAGCAGGGGCAGTGGGCCCAGAGCCCGCCTTTCTCCAGTCTGCTGTGTGACCAGAAGTAGGCCAGCTCTCTTTTCTGAACTCCAAATTCTCCATCCATACCCTGGATTGATGATCTGCAACTGTTTTTTTTTTTTTCTTTTTCTTTATGGTTTTTTTGCAACAGGGTCTCACTGTTAACATGGATGGCCTTGAACTCACTACGAAGCCCAGGCGGATCTCAAACTCGCAGCAATCCTCCTGCCTCAGCCTCCCTAGTGCTGGGATTACAGGCATGCACCACCATGCCCAACCTGCAGCTGTCTTGCTGTATGTGAGACATGAGGAATCAGCAGGCCCAGGGAAAATTTTGCAGTGCTGCCAAAGTCCAGCTCTGAGCCTGGGGCCCACTTCAGCACCAAGAGCTGGGGGGTTCCTCCATCTCCTCCCCAGGGCCTGCCTAGTACCTGGATCCATGACTCGCTGCACGGGAGGTGGAGGCTGAAGACTCTCCAGGGAACATGGAAGTCCCCCGAAGTCTGGAGCGCTGTGGCTGGAACTCTCAGCCCCGGGGAGCTGTCCTTCCATGAAGGAACCAGGTACCTGTAGTAGGGCCTGGCGGCACCAGGGAAAAAGAAATGGAAGGGCCAATCCAAACAGCACCTTGAGTAGTGTCACATTCCAACCCACCCAGCGCACCACTGCCTTGAGCTATTCTGCCTGCAGGAAGGAAACAGCTATGGTGCCCCCTCGCTCCCTCCCTCCACAAGAGATATGCAGTCCCACTGGGAAGCCTGGCCTCCCCTGCAGTGGCCACACTCTATAGAGGGAGCACTTTGCCGACACAATGAGGCCACCTGGCCCCAGCACAGCGCTGCCTCCTGGGGCTCCATAAATGACCCAGAAGGAGGGTCAGCCTTCCTTGAGAGAACATCCCAGTGTGCCCTGGCACCAGTGCCAGTGCCCAGAGGCGCTCTCAGGACTGCTCATCAGCCCAGAAGACCAGGCCCACACCCATCAGACAGAACAGGCATCCCAGCATCCTAACCAGGCCCAGCTTTCCCTCTCACTCAGCGGGGGGGCACAGAGCAAGGCTCCACCTGGCTTTCAGTCTCCATGGAGACTGACCCCCAGCACCTCTCCACCACCCTCACCTCTGAGCAAGGGGTGGAAGGACCAGTGGAGGGTTTTCCTGGCCCACGCAGGGCCCTGCTCCTGCTGCATCCCAGAAGCAGACAAGCCCCTGGTGAGGCCACTGCAACCCCCAGGGCAGCCTTGAGTCTCCGCAGCTGGCAGGCCCATGCAAAGCTCACCCTTCCTCTAGGTGACAGGCACCCCTGCATACCTCCATGTAGTCACTCTGCCTGGAAGCAGTCTCTCGGCCAGGAGAGTCCTGGGGGGTGGGTGCCGGTGAGGGGACATCAGGTAGAGATGGTGGAGCACCAGGCGGTGGGGCATCGGCTGGCAGGGCACCAGGTGGCTTCTTGTGGTGACTAGGGGGCTGGGTTGGGATCCGATGTAGATACCCATAGCCAACACCACAGCCCAGACTGCCAGGGGCCAGAAACGTTCAGTCCAGGGGGTTGGCTAAAGCCACAGCCCTCTCTGCCTTTACCGCCCCCACCCTGGAGCTACGGGTGGGGCCAAAAGGGCACTGCCAGACCAGTAGGCAGCAAGGGTTCCAGGGCAAGGCCTAGGGCCCAGCCCAGTGGACTCTGGAAATCCATACCCACCAGACAGGCCCACCTGCCCAGCCCTACAGCCCACCAACCCTGGGAAGTACCTGCCCTCTCCACCCCAGGCTGCGTTGGGAGTTACTGTCACCTCCCGGCAGGAGTCAGACTCGGAGTTATACACCATCAGCTTCAAGGGCTTCCCCTCATGGGACTCGATGAGCGAAAAGAAATCTTCAGACTACAAGAAACACACAACACTTGACACTGCTTCCAGCACCAGATGGAAGCCTCAAAATAAGCCACTTCCCATGAAAGGCACCCATCTTTTCACACTCTATCCGGGGGCCTGGGCAGGACAAGCCACGGGTTCCTCACCTCCTGCAGGATCTGGTCTGAGCCCACCACGTAGTCTGTGTAGGGGCACAGGCCGGCCAGGGCAGCTGGTGAAGATGGTTCCACATCCTGGGGAAGAATTGCAAACCAGCAGCCTCACTACCGTGCAGTCAGCAGGACATCTGTCCACTGTCGCCCGACAGGGCCTCGGCCAACTTTCACCTCCTCCCCCAGGCCTACAGACTGCCCAGCAGAGGGCAGCACACGGCAGGGAATGGGCCCTGGGCTCAGCGGGCTTCACCACCTGCTGGCTCTATGACTGAACATTTGTTACAGTGCTGCCCCTCTCCCAGCCTGTTTCCCCACAATTAAACTATGTTTCATAGAGTTGCCAAAATTAAAGAAAAACACGCTAAAAGAAAAGAGAAACCAAACCCTGGCTACAGCAAATGGCCAGCTGCCCTGCTGTTCCCTGGCAGGCTCCTGCAGCACCCAGACCGCCGGGTGAGAGGCAGGGCAAGGGCAGCGAGCAACACCAGACCCGAGGACCGCCTCCTCCCCTGGGAAGCTGCAGTGCTCTCGCTCTCCCAGTCTCCCTGGGAAATGCAAAGAAATCTGCATCATTCGCCCTGTGTTATTCATGGGCAGGCTTTTGCAGGCCGGCTACGAAGGCTGGGAAACTTAGCCAGCTCCCCAGGAAGCCAGTGATGGAGGACAGAAAGCAACTGGCTTCCAGCCCTGGGGACCGTCCTTCCATCAAGCCAGAGACTGAACATCTGAGCACAGGTGTCAGGCGCACTTGGTGCCTATGAAGAGACACCTATGATAGCTTAGCCATTTGAGGTTCATTTATGTGTCAGTTACATACAAACACCACAAAAACTAGACAGATAGATAGGTATGGGGGAGGAGACAGAAATTTAAAAAGACACTAAGAGTGTTCTGGCAGTATAGCCACCATTCCAGTAGACAGTAGTACCCCACCTTTCAAAACAAGAAACCAAGGTCTAGAGCAGTGGTGGCGAACCTGTGGCACATGTGCCATAGCGGGCTCTTTGTGTCACTGAGAACTCGAAAAGGGTCGCCATCACTGGTCCTAGAAGGTAAGCAAGTGCCCAGAGTCACATGGCTACCAAGAAGCAGGGCATGCTGTCCAGGGACTAACAGCTGCCCTCAGGACGGAGCAGCCGCCAGCCAGCCAGGGATGCCAGCCTCGGCCCCTCGCCCCGCCCACCCCACCCTGGTGCCTGCTCTTGCACACTCCACCTGCACCCTCACATGCCGTTCACACTTACCAGCACGTGCCACACGTGCTCGCTGGCCCTGCGGAAGCTGCAGAAGCGCACGCTGGCACCCAGCAGGCCCTGGCCACCCCACATGTTGCTGGGCACCACCTCCACCTCGCGCACCTTCATGGTCTTCATATTGAACACCTCCAGCTTCACCGGCTTCTCCACGTTGGCCTTCAGCAAGGCCTTCAGCGTGTCATTCTCCTTGTTCTGCAGGGGCAGCATAGCTGACTCCTAGGCCCCACCCCGACCCCCAGCCCAGGCCCCTGCAACAGGTCAAGGCCTGAGGTGGGGAGCAATGGATGGAACCCCCACCTCCCAGTAGTGCCAGGCACTACACCTCCCCACAACCACCAAGCAAACACAACAAAGCTCGCAAAAGGCCTCTGGGTCCAAAGCGCCAGTGTGCCGCTGCCCAGAGCCCTCACACCCCCCACAGGCTTGTGGCCTCCTCCTAGAGTCCTCTGTCCCCAGCCCACCTGGCAGGGACAGGACAGAGGGACACATCCACTCAACAAGCAGAAGTGGGTGGGGGAGCCTCACCAGTCGTGAGTGCCCGATGGTGATGATGAAGTCGAAGTAAGGCTCCAGGCCCGCCTGCTGTGCTGGCGAGTTCTCCTGCACCTGTCCCACAGCGAGGCAGTCAGCGCACCAAGCCCCGCTCCTCGAGAAGCCCCAGCCTTAATGCCAGGGACCAGAGCCACTCCTGGTGTCCCCGAGAGGATGCAGCCCTCCCCGAACTGTGCTGGGCATGGTCACCGTCTGCCTCTTCCCTCCTCCTAGCTTCTGGGCTCAGGAAAATGGCTTGTCTCCTGACTGTGACCCACAGAGCCCTCCAGAAAGCTTCACAGCCCAGAAGTCCTTTGGGAGCAACCAGGAGGCAGCAAGGAACCTTGCCGCGGGGCACAGGCCTGTGCAGATGCTGCTGCCCCAGGGGCTGGCCCGCAATGGTACCAGCAAAGTTCCGACACAGACAGGGTGGGCTGGGGATTTAGCTCAGCGGCACAGCACCCGCCTGGCAAGTGCAAGGTCATGAGTTCGATTCCAGGTACCGGAAAAAAAAAAAAAAGACAGGGAGAGCTCCGCATGCAGGGGATGTGGCAGGAACAGGAGATGTGCAGCCAGGGCTGCACCTACGAAGAGGCAGCAGGGAAGGTGGCTGGATCCCAAAGGGCCCCAGAACCCGGGCTGCCTGACCTGGCTCATTCTAGCAGGCAGTGGGAGCCACTGATACGCGCCGGTGAAGAGGAGGCCATGGGGGCTCAGCCACCCCACCAGCCTCACGGCCCTGTCCCCACGCCACTTGGAACACCTCCTCAGAGCCATCCACGGCCCCAGGATGCTCCCCACCGCTCCCCACACTTTCCAGCTTAACGCTGGACCCAAAAGTACAACCAGGCTTTACAGTCTGTGGCAGAAATCTGCCTCAAAGGCCCCATTTACAAAGCCTCGCCAAAACACTACCGCCTTTGTCCCCAGGTCCTGGACCCTGAAGGTAGCCCAGACTCAGGCCTTTGGTTGTGAACACGAGATGACCTCTTGGGTCAGGTGTCAACAAGGCCCCAGGAGAGAGGACACTGAACTCATGTGGCCTTGGGCCCTTGTACCCCCAGCCCTCTAGTCTCAGAGTCCCCAAGCTGAGGACGAGCTCTTACAGAACAAACTGCTGAGCCTCTGGATCAAGGCCATTTTGCCCCTGGCATCAGGAATCCTTTCCAGCAGTGTTGCCAACTGAGTCCCTGCTTGCCACCTCGAGAAGCTGCCATGGCTTCCAATGGGAGTGGGTTCAGCCACCAACTCTGGCCCTGCCTGCCCGACAAGGAGAGCAAGTTGCCCTCAGGCACTGCGGCAGGGGAGCCCTGTGTCCTGCCCTAAGACAGAGCTAACTTGGTGGGGTCTGAGCGATGCCCCTCCCTGAGCAGGGCCACTTCCAAACCACTCCACTTTCCCAGGGCAAGGCTGCTGCTCCCCGCCTCAGCCCTGGGTATCAGCTGCCCGCATACTAATGAGGGCCCTCTCGCAGCACCCGCAGCTGTGGTGCTGTCCTCTGCCTGGCTATATTCCACTTCCATGGCCCTGGGCCTGGCAGTGGTCATTAGGGCTATAGTGGAAATAATATGCAGCTGCACCCTGCAGAGCCACTGTCCCTCCATCCAGCTGTCCCTGGAGAGTCCCATCATGTTTCACCCTGCGTCCTCATAACATGTGCTGCTTTTCCTAATACCCAGCCTGCTCTTCCTCACCAGGGGCCCATGCAGAATGAACAATCCGTTCACACCACTACACGCTGGTCAGCTGACTGCCTTTTATTAACCCCAACTTACAGAGGAGAAAAGCCTCAATAATTTAGTAATCTGACCCCAGGAAATCCAACTTAGAGTCCTCCCCTTACCGTTGCCTTATCATAGCCATTTTCTTGAGCTCTGCTAAGGATGTGCCTGGCACACAGTGGGAATACCATGTGTACAGAATGCAGCACACTTGTTCTTCAGGTTTTTTTTTGGTTTTTTGGTACTGGGAATCGAACTCACCACCTTGTGCTTGCCAGGCAGGCGCTGTACCGCTCAGCTATATCCCCGGCTTCAGTTTTTAAAAACGTGAGATTATGTCACACCTCCACTTAAAATCTCCCAACGGCTTCCTATCTCAGAATAAAACCCTAAATACTCTCCTATGGGGTCTGGCCTCTTCCTCTACCCTCTCCTGAAGCTAGTGCTCCATCAAAGCACTCCCACCTTACCCGCTTCATTTCCTCAAACAGGACAAACACCACCCAGCTCAGGGCCTTCCACCGGGGACACTTGTCCCCGACACCTGTGCTGTCCACTCTTTACTTCCTGCATAGGCCTGTGTTCCAGTGTTACTTGGTCAGAGGTCTTTCCTGACTACTGTGTCCAAAATGGCAGCCACTCAGCACTCTTTCTCCTTTAAACTGCTTTTTTTCTGGCTAACAATTAGTAGCCATCGACTGTTTTATGGTCTCCCTTCTCTCCCACCTGGCATCCAAATGCAAGCTCCGTGAGCACAGGGATGATGTCCGTTCTGTTCGCTACTTTATCCCTGGTCTCTAGAGCTCTGCCTGCTGCAGAGCGCGTACTCAAAACTACCGGTGCGAACTGAACGATGACCTCCGATCCTCCGACCTCTCCAACCTCTCAGTGGCCTCCTGTCCTCACTCCTACCATCATCTCACCTCCCCGCCGCCAGCATCCTGAATTCCCCTGCCTTCCACTAAGCCTGGGGCCCGATCTCCGGGCCGGAGGCGGACCACTGTCCCTGTGGGTGCCTGGCCGTGAGGAAGCCCATCCTCAAGCACAAGGTCGTCAGCGCCGGTCTCGCACCGCCAGCCTGGCTCTCCTGTCAGGAAACCCTTCATTAGCCTGTCGCGTACGCAGACTCTGGTAAGAGAGCCGCCCTTCAAAACCGACCACTCAGCCGCCAGGCACCGAACTGGCAAACGCGCCTCCCTGTCCACGCACCTCTGCACCCGCCCGCTTCTCTCAAGCAAAAACGGGGAGGGAGGACTCGGGGACCCTCCTGTGCCTCTCACCCCGGATCCTCACCCGGCTGCGGGGCCCTCCCATCCCCTTCTCCGCCCGACCAGGAACCCCACCGTAGCCGCTTCCCAGCGGTCGGCCGGTCCAGACCTCCCGGCGGCCTCACCGAGGGGCCGCTCCCGCTCGCACCCCGACCGCGTGCCGCGCCTCCGGAGCTCCGAACGCCGGCCGGGCGTCCCGCCCCCGG